TTCTTAACATAGTATTCAAATTATAGGGTATAAAAACATCAACGCGTGATATAACTAATTCAAAGTTAATGCAACCATGTCGTCAGTCAAAAGTATCAAAAAAAAGAATATACATTTTCTTGTCATTTTATGATTCTTAAAAGTACATCAACAGAAATCTTTCTCTTTTATTGCCAATTTTAGTACGAAAAGTGGATTAAAAATATTCAGTTATAACCAGTTCTTGGAAAAACAATTTTAAAAACAATAAAGTGCTTTACACGATTATGTAATATGTTTCTTTCCTCTTGAAACGCATGCATATAGCACGTATATTTTCTCGTGAATCATAGTAATCTTTTTGACAAAGAAAATTAGAAGAAAACGAAGTATTGTGTATGGTGAACGCAAAAAGCTCTTTACTTATAATTCTCCTTATTTTTGCTTTTAACGTAGCATAATTCTATCACCCATATCCTATGTTATTTGAAGCTACAGATAAACTGATATGTATGGTTTATTTTTTTCAACCTTGACAAAAAGGTGTGAACAGCAAGAAATAAGCAACCAAACTTGTTTAACGAAAGTTGTGATCGAATTTCATTAATGTTTCGAATCAATTACGCACGATTTAACACGTTCCGTGCCACCGGAAATTTCGGTTATACTCTGCTTATAAACCGCACTCATTTTATTAATAATATATTAAATTATATTCAAAGTTTTAATGATTTTCATATATTTTCATATCCTTTTTTTACATTTCCGATGCTTCGTAACGCGTATCGCTATCCATGCCAACATGTCACACAAAAAATGTTTGCTTATAGAAATTAGCACGTACCAAAAACGCTACACGCGGCACTTAACATGTTAATATTATCGTGAGAGAATGAAAATGAACTGAGAGTATGTGACTGTAAGCATCTATTAAAACGAATTTCTAATGTCTAGCGACAAAATGTAACTAACAAATGAGATAATTGAAAAATAACTATTCATCATACACACAGCATTCCGTGTTACCGTGAAAAATCGATAAAAATCGTCGATATTTTTCGTTCAAGTACCGTAAGAGCGGAAGATACCACGACGAAGTTGGCTGTAAAGTTCCAAGTTCGCTGGACTATCCAATTCCGTTCTTTGACATGAGACCAGGACACAGAGCTGCAGGGTCCAGAGGATGCTTATTAATCGTCCCATCGCAAGCGCGTGACCCAGAAGACGTACTGAGAGACGATAATGCGAGCTTACCGCGTCGCGGTACTAAGCGATTGTGAAATGGTAGGGTTACCTGATTTGTTAAAGAAATACGTCGTGAGGTGACGAATGATCCATTTATTTACAGGAAAATAAGAGACTGCCACGTCTGCTGCTACAGGGTGTCTCTAAATTGTAGCCCACAAACGATAAGATGTAGGGTAACGGGTACCTAATATGGAACAACTGATTCGAAAAGCTTACCAAAATGAGAAATATGCACTTTTTCAATGAAACCTGTATCAAATCACGAAGAAATAAACATGGTCTATAACAATCTTACATATTAACTACTCTGTCACCGGATTTAATAATTCTAAAATAGATCGCTGCAATCGATATTTGGAACAACTTCTTTTTATGAATATCGTCGAAAATAAAAAAGTTCAACACGTTTCTGCAAGTAAAAAATTTATACAAAATAACGATTCTTACAACATAGTTAAAAATAAAGAGTATTCGATCCAAATGTTAATCGAATACTTGGAACAATAAAAAGACTAATTCTACTGTATATACAAAATGTGAATTTACTTCGGTGAAAAATGATCGAACATTTTCATTACTGACATTTGCAATATTTAAGAAAAGAACTTTATATTCAAAATAATTATGTTCGTTGAATAGAACAAACCTTTTCATTACATCGTAATATAGAGATTTGTTGCGTAAATATTTCAAAGAATTCATACAGATACATTCCGCTACTCTAAATAAGTAACATTTCAATATGTTCCTTCCATTCTGACCATCGGTAAACACTAGACCTACCGTTCCATTCAAAATGACTGGTTTCGGTTTCTTTATTTCGCAGTTATTAATGCCTTAAAAGCATCGAATATTCAAAATGATTTCGAAAATAAATAGAATATCTAACAAATGTCTGAAGAAAATTAAAATAATTCATTGTTACAATTTTTATACAGATTACATATAAATCATATTAAGTGCTCGGTAGTTCTAGTGTTAAATGTGGAGGCAGAATCGGAGCGACGAGTGTTCGTAGAAATTTGTCCCTTAGGATTCGACCTTTTCATGATCGCCCACCATACACCATGGTGAAGGAGCAGTTCAGATATTCTTGCAGAAATCTTTGTTTCCCACCATAATTGTAATCGTCAGTAACCACGTGTCATTTTTACATAATTATTGTAGAGATTTTTTTAACCTTTCCTTAATTTAAGGTTTTTTAAGAAAAACCATTCTCACGCTTTCTGCGGTGCATAGCAAATTCGTGCTAGCCAACCCACTTTTCGTGGAAATGTAACAGAAGTGCATACAATGTACGCGCATCTAACATTTTAAAAGTAACACTTGTTTTTCTGAAAAATTCGACTGTTTTTACTAAAACCCGTTTTTTTAAAAATTGAACGTGACGCAGCAATTTGGTTTTCGGATTCATATTTAGGACAAGGAACTCTATAAGAATCGCCTAGTGATTATTGCAAGACACGAAAAAAGTTTAAATTTGTTCCATAGTGTTATTAATCAATTAATTAAATATTTTTGTCTGTATTTAATTCATGTATAAAAACGTATAACCATTTCAACTTCATTATGTAATGCATCACGCTCTGAATATAATTATTTTAAATAGTTGATCTTAGTGTATAAAAATTATGCAGTCTTGCAGAGAACATGTATTGTACAATGTTACGCGTTTCACATTAATGTGTTGATAAATCTTAAACGTTCTATTAACCACCATTGTATTTAAAATTTTTATTTAATATACAACCTTCCAATGGTTTTTCATATCAACCCTGGGATCCTTTTTTATTCTGTTCACCAGATATTGTGCCATGAAAGACATGTCTCGAGACATTGCGCCAGCTTCGGTAACGCTGAATTGCGATGCCGGATGAGCAGTAAATGAGTCTCCGAATGCACAGTCAAACTGGTCTGCAAAATTCAATCTTTTTTTTGTATATTCTCACGCGTCACCAGGTACGGTTTTTCTGGACTATGACACAGAAACTTTTCACTCATCGCGTACCAATTAGTACTCTTATTATCGTGCGGTTCCAGCAAGTTGTTCCACAAAACATTCCCATCTGACAAGAAATAAATTAAAACCAACGATTATTAGTTAATATATAGTATAATAGATCATTCACTAAATAGTATAATAAAGAATTGTAAAATACATTCTACGTTTAACAATACATAACCCCGCGAATCATCGAAGAATATATGCACATTTCTCATTTTTCATTTATCTGTAAGAAATCGTTTAAAATAGCTTCCACTTTCACTTAACTATACCTTTCTGAATTACATGGATGAGTATATAGACTGCAGTACAGATTTCTAAATATTTTTTTAAATAACTGATTATCATTTTTCCTTACTATTTTTTGAAAATAGTATTCCATTAATTCCAATTGATAAAATGCTAAATGTTGTTAAAGTCATACTCACATAATGCGTGTGACTTTTGAGATAAATGGTAACAATCGTAAGACATGAAGGTAAGATCGGAATACCTATCATCAGCAAGTGGTATAATCATATCTTTAATACCGGACAAAACTTCAACTGTGAAGTCTTCTTTGTGAAACTCTGAATATTGTGCAATATCTTCTTCTGTTTTCTGCCACCTATAATTGCAACATTAATTCAACATAATCACAAGCAGCGATTTTTCTTAGGTCAGCAAATTGCAAATAAATAACAATTCAAATAATAATACTTGCCAGTCAAAGTCATAAAAATCATTCTACAAGTAATATTGAACTAAATTAAACCATTTACGATAACGAACACTCCCAGTTATAAATAAAGTAGCATTGTATTGAAAATAATTACATTCATTGAATAGAACAAACCTTTTCATTATTTCGTAATATAGAGGTCTGTTTTCAAGATATTTTAAAGCAAACAGACAAGGACAGGAAAATACCGTAGAAAAGTAACACTTCATTATGTTCCGTCCATTCTGAGTATCGACAAGTGCTTTTAAATGTGGAGGCAGAATCAGAGAGACGAATGTTCGTGGCAAATTGTCCCTTAAGATTCGAAGGGTTTTAACTAAGTCCTTTTCATGATCGTCCACGATAGACCATGGTGCAGAAACATTGCACACATTCGTGCAGAAATCGTTGATGCCAATCATGAACGTAATCATCTGCAAACACATATCAGTTTTAAATGATTATATTTTGTTAACACGTTGACTGCCAAAACAATAATTGAAGACTGTCGCTTCTTAATTGTTTTATAATATGTATGACGGTCAATGTTGAATAAAACTCATTAGTAACTTAAGTAGCTTGATAAATGTTACAAGAAATACTCACGATTTTTGTGACACTTAACCTGTCAACTTGTGCAAGTATTCACCGCGTGCTTTGCAATTTATGTTAATACAGTCGGTATCTTCGAACTATTAGGTTGGTGCATATGAAATGTTGGATTTTTAAGTGAATATATAAAACTGCATATCTTTTTTTAAAAGCTGCTTATTTAATTAAAATATGCTCCATTTTCTTCAATACACTTTTCCCAACGAGATTTTAATGCATAAATGCCTGTCTTAAAGAAATTCTGATCTTTAGAATCAATAAACTTTGATACGGAATTTTTCAGGCCGTCTTCATTTTCATACTGTTTAGCCCGTAAAAACTGTTCTAAATATTTAAAAAAATGAAAGTCGGATGGCGAAAGATCCGGTCAATAAGCTGGGTGCTGCAAAATGTCATATTTTAATTCATTTAATTTCGCAATTGTTTGGTACGGCGTGTGCGGCCGAGCGTTGTCATGAAGTATTGGGCCATGCCGATTAACAAGTGATGGGCATATAATTTTCAATTTTTTATGCATTTCATCAATGTACTAGCAGAACTTTTCGACTGTAATTGTCTTCCCAGTTCGAAGGAATGAGTAGTGAATTACTCCAATCACATTCCACCAAACTGTTATTAAAATTTTCCGTGGATGAAGTGATGGCTTTGGAGTATGAGCACAAGCCTCATCCCCATCAAGTCACCGAGCACACCTTTTTCCACTGTCGTAAAGAACCCATTTTTCATCACAAGTAATAATCCGATCGAAAAATGGCACTTGATGAAATCGGGTTAGTAATGATGAGCATATGTTCAACCGATTCAGCTTATTTCGTTCGGTTAGTTCGTGCGGTACCCACTTATCTATTTTTTTTCACCTTGCCAATTTCAGGAAGGTTTCGGAATATTGTTGTATGGTCAACTTTCATGGTGGTAGCAAGTTCCCTTGTAGATACAGTTGGATTCGTTTCCACCGATGCTTTCAGAGCATCATTTTTCACAGACGTTTTGGGTCTTCTACGCGGTTCATTTTGTAGGAAAAAATCACCAGACCGAAAATTTTCAAACCAACGCTGCACTTTTCGGTCATTAACAGTATTCTCCCCAAAATCCTGGTTTATATTGCGTGCAGTTTTTGCAGCATTATTACCAAGTTTATACTCATATAAAAAAGTTACACGAATATCGGTTGAATTCATATCGGTATAAAATTCAAGCTAAATAACAAAAGGGAACAGTTTTAAGAAAATTTTCTTTGTTGAAATGTGACTCTGCCAATGGACAGTACGACTATAAACTAGGTTATGCCAAAAACAAAAGCATAACGAAAACAGGGAGACAAAAGTTCACACGTAAAGAAAAACCGACATTTCATATGCACCCACTTAATATATTAATTGACTAATAATTAATCGATTAATTCTTTAGTTCGGTTTGTATTCAATGTATTCACGAAAACGTAAAAATTATTTTATTTTTAGTATGTTCGATGCAGGAAGTAATTAACTACGTTCGTATAACTCCAACAATAAATCAATCGTCAAACAATTAACATGCAATGTATTTGCACAGCAATTTGTTGTTTGTATTATCAGGAATTAGCTAAAAGTAGTTGAGACTAGTTTTTATCAATGCATTAGTAATGCATGTGTATTAAAATAGAAACTTAGTTTCATCTACAAGATCTGAATCCTCTACAAGAGGAAAATGTGTTCAATATGAGGTTGCATGATTCACATTAAGTCTTGATAAATCTTAAATGATATATCAAATACCGTTATTCTTAAAATTCTTATTTAGTATATTACCTTCCAATTATTTTTCATGTCAACTCTCGGATCCTTTTTTATTTTGTCAACTAGATATTGTGCCATGAAAGGCATGTCTCGAGACATTGCGAAAGCTTCGGCAACGTTGAATTGCGACACCGGGTGAGCAGTAAATGAGTCTCCGAGTGCATAGCCAAACAATTTTGGATTGAATTCCTGTACAAGAAAAAACCAATTCAAAATCAATACTCTGTACAGTAGGAAGTTAAATTTCATAATAAAATTTAATTATATAAATTTCTAGATTAATTATATGCAATTTTATATTACACGATACTTCTTTAAGAATCAGTGTTTACATTAGATATGAAGGGTTGGTGCCGTAAATAGAAATCATCAAGAACCTTGAGAATATTGGGAAGCGTCAAATAAGTTCGCCAATTCCCCTGGCCACCGGAGCTCCCCGAGACACCCCTGTTTTCGATCAGTACTTCCAACGGATTTGTCGCAAATATTGCATTGCCCGCTGTCCATGAATCACCCATCCCACCAATCACGTCTATGTCTCCTGGTCTTAAGTGATTAACGGATGTCGGTACTTGCGGAGATCTACCATCTACTCATAAAAGTTATAAACCAAATTATAACTGTTATAACATAAAAAACAGGATATTATATCACGAGTTATTTCACTCTATATCGAGCGTTAAATGTTTCAATGGTATTTTATTAGGTATACTTCGTCTTTGTAAATTTCGTTCGAAATGAATTTTTGCATCATGTCTATCGTTTTACAAACAAATATCCAGACTTTATTTATTTTATTAATTTCAAAAATAACATGCAGGACACCTTGGTTAAAAATGGAATAGAACATATAGTTATACAGTCGTTCCTAATATTTTTTATTGCAGATAATTTTGTATTTATCTTAAAACAATTGAACTTTAATTTACCTGTTACGTTACATGGAAAAGGTACTGTTGATGGAACATCTTTCTGGGTATTTGGAAATACATCACTCCCACTTCCTTTGTTTGATATTCTGTTAACTGTCATGTGATGAATAGTTTTCAAATAAATTGATTACTTAAAATATTGACATGAAGTAGAGATTTGTTTTTTTAATTTATGTATGTTTTCTTATTTAATTTAAATTTAATTAGTTTCAAAGAATATCGTTGAAAATCATAGGTGCACAATAGTTTCATGTGAAAGATCTACCCATTTAAAAGTATCAAAACTGAAGCACATATATAAACTGTCGTTCAACCAATGTAATATAATTCCATAATAATTCCATAATAATTCCAATCGAATTTTATTGAAAATTTCAAAGAAGTCACACGTATTTAAAATTGATCGTGAGGAAATGAGAATAAACTGAGTGTGTGACCATAAACATTTATTAAAACTAGCTTCTAATGCATAGCGACAAAATGTAACTCACAAAAGGGATAATTAAAAGAAATATATTTATCGTACGCATAGTATTCGCGTCACCGTGTAAACTCGATAAAACTTGTCGATGTCTTTAGTTCACGTACCGTAAGAGCGGAGGATACCATGACGAAGTTGACTGTAAAGCTCCAAGTTTGCTGAACTGTCCAACTCCGTCTTTTGAGCTGCGATGAGGGCACAAAATTGCAAAATCGATAGAAACTTTATCAACTGTCTCATCGCAAGCGTGCGTTGAGAAATTACTATTAGAGGATAATGTGAGCTTTCCTCCATATAACGCCGAACGAATTTTGAATTGTATAACCGTCTACCTTTCAAAGCTACACGTCGTGATCTAACGTCACTTTGAAGTATTTTCAAAGCAATACGAGACTGTTTCGTCTCCTGGGATTAATATATATTATCTGTTCGTGCACGCTGTCCAGGCAATATCAGTGGACGTGGCGTAACACTTTCACACGCCGAGTTAACCTTGTGTGAAATAGTTGGAATGATGAAAAAAGACTTCTCCTCTTTTCGGTCGAAAGTGGACTGTATTTCTTGATTGATAATGAGTGAAAGGAGTGTGTACGTGTGTACAAAGTTGAAGTGTGTCTGTTGTCCAGTGAGTACAGCGTGATTAGTAATGAACTTGTGTTGTCTATATGTCTCTCTCCATGCTGTCTCGCGCTACATATATATATGTAGTATATATATTTATATGTAGTAATGTAGGGCAGTGTCCTTAGTGTCAAATCAGAAGGCTAAACGATCGGCGTGTTGCTGATTACAGTTTTTCAGCCTACGCCCACATTACTTGTAGTGGAGGTAGGGGGTACGTCGGTCCTTCTGACCTGCAAGGGTACCGATGGCTATGCGCTCGGGGTTTAAGTGGTTGAGCTGCCGTTTTTTTATGATATGTCAGCTGCTGGTTATTTATGACACCCGATGTAAAAATGCAGCTAGCAATAAAACGCTTCCAAAATTTACTTAGATTGTGTTTAGACATGACCGAGTGTAATTGGTCATACCATAAATCTTTACGTACCGATGGCTGTGTCTCAACCAAATAAACCGTGCCGGAACATTATCGAAGACTGATTTTACTTTTACAAAACAAGTCTGTTTTTGTAGCGAGCTATGCATGATAATGGTATCGGTGATTAGGTAAATAGGTAAGATTAATCGATAGATAAACATGAATGTGTTCTGCGAGACATTTGCAACACAGTTATATAACCGTAAAGTGATAGAATTTACTGCTCTGTAATTCATTTCCCAGGGAATCGATGTACAATCCCTAATGATTCTTTTTTTCATGTTCTCTAGAGTGGTTGGTTGTTCATGATAAACTTCGTCTTTCAGTTTTCTCCACAGATGGAAATGAAGAGGCGTAAGATCGCAGCTCAAGGAAATAATTTTAAACATTTAGCGCAACAGAAATGCAGCAAATAAACCTTATACGTTTAACTTTATTTATTCTATTTTTCTGAATTGAAGGTTATTTAAAGGTCACATCGTGTACAGGGCTGAATTTGTTTAGATGTCGGCTACAATTATACACGGGAAAAAATATGCAGTTTCACTTAAAAAACGTTGGTGACCTTGAAAATACCGACAAAATGTGTCATCATTTTCTGATTCCAGTGCCTTTCTTGCGATGTTGAGTGAACGTACTGTTCATTAGAAAATATACCTCTATCAGTACAAGATTCTTCTGATTTCACATTTTCTCCATATTATCTGCCTCACTTTTGCTCACTAATATATTAAAAAATGAATAAATAAACGTATCACATTTTTCCATACAAAATTGCGAGGAAGATTGAGCGTGCATTGGCAACCGGACACACTTTCCATTTTTCTCTATAGGGTACTTCTTGGTGAAATGGCTTAGTGGGAGAGATTGTCCGATCGCATTTAGATTGTCAAATATCTATATTTTCAATTGTTTTTGCAATATACTGCATCTTGGTTAGAAGATATTAAATATAATACTTAAAATAAATTAATTAAAATACTTTGATTAGGTATTATTGATATTTATGGTGTAATAGTTTTTGTTTTTAAAATGGACCATCTCTTTCCGACCTACGTTGCGTACCACATAACAAAGAAAAAATTTAATAGTCATTTGCTATTGACACATAGTATTATTAGATTAACTTTTCCAGAGATTTTTTTACAAGCGTAGAAGATGCAAGGAAAATTAAATAAGAATTATATACAGTTTATTAATTTATATTGGGTTACATAGATGTGAGAACTTACCATGCCGTTCACAACTTTTGTGATAAGTCTTCAATTTCGATAACATTCTCTGCTTGCACACATTTAAATTTTTTATATTATGTAGATTTTTGTAAATTTTTTATATTTATATATTATTCAATCCTTCTTATGATACAATTACATATTATATCGTTTCCTTAGATTTTATATAAAACTGGCCCTATAGCAGTCGTACAAATAAATTCTTAAAAATTACAAATAAATAATAAGTGTAAGGTCACTAGAATGGCACTTCGATTTTGTTAAACTAATATGTCCCACAATTTATGCAACATTCTGATGTGTAATGAGGTGATACTTAAAGCAAATAAATTTTTTATATCGACATCAACTGTTCCCAATTGTATGAAAATTGTAACAATCGTAATTCAACAAATTGTATATTGCAAATGCTAATTTCGACATTACATTCAATTAACGTGGACGTTTTCTATTTGTATACGTACCAAGTACATAAATATTGGAATGCAATAATGCTTTCTTTTATATGATTAATTTGTATGATTACATCATTCGTGGGAGATATCGTAATGATTAGACTGTGGATTTTTATGCAAATTTAAATTTATAAAAATGTAATTGAAGAAACATAATTTCGATAGGAAATAGTTCTTTCTAACGAATGTCATAAAAAGCACTACAATTCAGATATTTTATACATTTCTTCATATTGTATGCATTCAATACAATTTTGCACTTTCTATTTTCCCATAAATGCATAAAGATCCGCAGTCTAGTAATATTTTCCGCTACTATTTCACGCACTGAAAATATTTTCTACAGTTGAATCTTATAGTTAGAAAAGCTCGCTTTAACATTAGAACCACTGCACCCGTTAAAATGGATGGTTTTCAATTTTCTTATTTCGCAATTACTGATATCTCAAAAGTGTTAACACTGAAACTACCGAGCAGTTAGAATAACTTGTTTCCAATTTATTATAAAAATTAGAACAATATGTTTCTTGAGTTTCGAAGAGTCTCCTAGTCTTGTATCTGTACAAATACAGAAATTTAATTAACACTATTTTGCAAAAACGCCTTCATAATTTAAATACTTGCAAAATAAAGATTTTGAAGTGGGCCAATTTTACCTGTCCTGTAGTTTTAGTGTTAAACATCCAAAATGATTTTAAAAATAAATAGTTTCACTTGAATATTATAATGAATATATGACGAAATTGAAAAAATTTACTGTTACAATTTTTATAAGAGTTACATATTAATCCTATTACACGCTCGGTAGTTCTAGTGTTACATTAAGTAAGATTGTTACTTCTCCGTGAATTTTCACGCGTTACTAGGTATGGTTTTTTTGCAGTAGGACACAGGAACTTCTTCATCATAGGATACCAATCAGTACTCTTATTACCATGTGGTTCCATCAAGTTGTTCCACAGAATATTTCCATCTGGCAACAAATAAGTTAAAATCAACGAATATTAGGTGATAAATAGAATATCGGAAAGTTCTGTCCGATAATGTCATCTCAAGTTTCCAAAGATGAATCATTCAACAGAAATGCAGCCATCCACAAATTACCATCGCGCTGGAAAGAGGTCATTATAGTGATGCTCGTTTAAATTCCACAAAATCTGCTCGGCTAAATTTCGCTACACCATCCCTACTCTTCCCTGACTACCCACTGCCTCGAACTCAGTGTAATGTGATCTCAGTAAACAGGGACAGAAAATGAATACAATGAGTAGAAACAGATGTCACGCAGTCCCTCGAGCACCAAGAGTCGTGGCGCGGATTCCAAAGCGACGTCGCACCCGTGAAATACAAACATACAACGAAGAAAATTTCGATTGCAGTAATTTTAATCTTCCCTCCTTAAATATAGTGCCAGTGAATTTCTGAAATTGTTTCGACTGAAATGAGTCCAAACACGATGGAAATCGGACTAGTTTTACGGACTTAATGTAATTAACAAATTTAAAGGTTCATTTCCCCCAAATCGATAAAACTAGACCGATTTGCGTCGTGTTTGCACTCATTTTAATCAGAAAAATGTCAGCAATCTATCGGTACCACACTTGAGAAGGTAACGTTAAAATTACTGTAATTGAAATTTTCCCCATTATACGAGTATATTTGACGCGTGCGGAGTCGCTTTGAAGTCCCACGCCTCGACCCTGTATACCAGTCGACCTATGGCTCAAAAGTGAAGAAGGGCAAGGAGTGACGTCCACTTGGAGCGCTCGGCCCGATAGTAATAGCGAAATTAGTTTCGGCACGACTTTGTTACTGGCCGAGCCGCGAGTTAAGGTGGTGTATGCGGCCAAATCCACTTGTCGCTCTTTACTTTTGAGTCACAGGCCGGCTGGGTTCATGTCAATAACGCACTTTACGTCTATCCTGTTTCTGTCCATTGTATTCATTTTCTGTTTCTGTCTACTGGGATAACATGTCAGACTGACCTCGAGACAGTGAGTAGGGAAAGAGTAGCGCTAGTGTTGTGGAATTTAGCCGAGCAGATTTCTGTGGAATTTAAGCGAGCTTCACTATACTTACATAATGCGTTTGCCTTTTGAGATACATGGAAACAGTCATAAGCCATGTAGGAAAGATCAGGGTATCCATCCTCAGCTAGTGGTATAGTTACTTGTTTAATACCGGGTAAAACTTCAACTGTGAAGTCTTCTGTGTGAAACTCTGGATACTCTGCAACGTCTGCTTCCATTTTCTGCCAACTACAAACGAGACATTAAAATAAATGACTGAAGAAACAGAAGAATAAACTAGTCAATATGTGAATAATATTAGGTTGTAAATAATCAAAATGGTCCCACATATAACATTTTTTTAGATTTACTTTACAACTATAAGATATGTTAATATGTGAGATATATCAATATATATTGATATGTAAAACATTATATAGTCATTTACTGCTTTTAATTTGTTACCTTATTATTTTGTAATGTATGATTTTCGTATTCATTAACACGATTAATTCGTAGTAAAGTCAATAATAATATATGTAGTCACCGGGCTATTACATAGTAGACAACCCGAAATAAACTTAATTTTTATAATTTACGTAAATAGTACACAAAAATTACGTCCTAAAAATCCTATCGAGAAACATTTATTGATGTAAAAATCGTTTCTCAAATATATATATATATATAGACTTCAAATGATTAAAAGAAAACACTGAAAGAAATAGACTTATTTGTTTAAAAGGAGAAAAGAAATGAATTATACTGTTATTACAAAATTAGTGCTACCTACAATCGAACATTTTCATTAGTAACATTTTATTATACCATTTTGTGTGTAATTTTGAACTAATTTAAGTTACTCGACAGCGGACATTTTTAATATTATATAAAAAAAGACGTTATATTCCAAATAATTATTGTATATTCGTCGAATCAAACAAACCTTTTTATCACTTCGTAATACAAAGGTCTTTTACTTAGATTTTTCAATCCAATCAGGCAAGGACATTCCACCGTTGTTAATACGTAACATCTGAATATGCCTCTTCCTTGCGTTGTGTCAACAAGCACTTTTAAATGTGGAGGTAGAATAAGAGAGACGTATGTCCGTGGTAAATTGTCCCTCAGGTATCGAAGGGTTTTAATTAGATCCTTTTTATGGTCGTCAACGATAGACCATGGTGAAGGGATATTGCATATGTTCGTACAAAAATCGTTGTTTCCAATCATAAATGTAATCATCTGCAAACACGTATCTCTTTAACATGATTATTCCTAGTTAAAATGTACGAGGAATCTCTTCAGTTTGAACACAATGGAATAGCTTATAAAGAACTAAAAATGTTTATTTTACTAATTAAATTTACTAAATTTACTAAATTTACTCGTTTTATTCGTTTTACCCGTTTTACCCGTTTACCCGTTTACCCGTTTACCCGTTTTACTCAGTGTACTCATTTTACTCGGTACATAATTCATTATTGTATTAAATTTATTTACAAGAATACAAAAGTGACCTTGTTTTCAACATGGGCTTATTGTTCTTGTTTTCAGGAATTATTTCGAACTAATTGAAAGTAGTTTTTCTTGCACCGTGAATAACATCTGCATATATATATATATATATATATATATATATATATATATATTAATATAAATATGTATATATTTAACATTTTAAAGTAATTTACAACTTCCACGCAAACAGAATCTGAAAAGATTTCTACATACAACTGTTTTAAATAGTTAATCTTTGTATATAAAAAAAGTTACAATCTCGAGGAAAATGTGTTTAATATAACGTTATCTGGTTCACATTAATCTGTTCATAAATCTTAAACGTTCTATTAATTACCGTTGTATTTAAAATTCTTATTTAGTATACAACCTTCCAATGGTTTTTCATGTCAACCCTGGGATCCTTTTTTATTTTGTTGACTAGATATTGTGCCATAAAAGGCATGTCTCGGGACATTGCACCAATTTCGGCGACATTGAATTGCGATGCCGAGTGAGCAGTATACGAATCTCCGAGTGCATAGCCAAACAATTTTGGATTGAATTCCTGTATAAGAAGAAAACCATTATAAATCAATATTCTGTACAGTAGGTAATTAAATAGCATCATTTTGTATAAATTAGAAACAAAAATTCAGTTTAAAAACCTAACTTGAAAGAGTAATGCCAGAACTATTAGAATTTTGGGAAAAAATGTAATTGTAGAACTTTCTAAGTTAATTCTATGAAATTTTATGTTACACGAAGCTCCTTTAACACTAAAACTACCAAGCTTTTAATATAATTGATATGTAATCCCTATAAAAATTCTAACAATAAAGTATTTTCAGTTTTTTTTAGACATTCATAATAGTATTCAAGTGAAACTATTTATTTTCAAAATCGTTTCGAATATTCAATGCTTTGAAGATATCAATAATTGCGAAATAAAAAAGCAGGAACCCGTCATTTTGACTATTACTGTTAGTTCTAGTATTAAAAATCTATTTTCACGTTAGGTCTATTAGTATCCATATACCATTTCATTGGAATAACCATTAATTTTACCAACTTTCGTAACAATTACTCGCAATGTGGCAATTGTTTCGTATATAAGTACAATATTAGTGCTTTTCCAATATTTTCAAATAGTTTAGTAAAGTACAATATTAAATTGTAGTTTAATCAGGTCATGTAGCCACAATTTCAGGATTAAAAACCAAGAATATTTCGGATAACGAAGGGTTGATATCGTAAATAGAAATCGTTAAGTACCTTAAGAATATTCGGAAGTGTCAAATAAGTTCGCCAATTCCCCTGGCCACCGGAGCTCCCCGAGACACCTCTGTTTTCGATCGCTATTTCAAGGAGATTGGTCGCAAATATTGCATTGCCCGCTGTCAACGAATCACCTATCGATCCGATCACATCTATGTCTCCTGGCCTCAAACGATGAACAGAAGTCGGTACTCGCGGAGATCTGCCGCCTATCCATGAAAGTTATAAACAAAATTAAACTTGTTACATCACGAACAAGAAATCTCATACTTTACTAGCCGAATGTTTCTCACTTGGAAATTTACTTTTGTAAGTTTTTGAATTTATGAACTTTTTAGATTGTTTCATACTGTTTTGGTTCCTCCTTAATTGAATTGATGTGGTAAAGATTTTAAAGGGAATTTGACAAAGATAAATATTACTTAATCCTTCTTGAACTCAAATTAAACATTGTTCTTCTATTATGAATAATTATACGTTAGAGCAAATACAGACATCAAATACTCCTAAAATTGTTCTATTTTTTCAAAAAATTATTAATGGCAAAGTAGTTATATCGATCACAGTGCAAAAATACATCGTAGGGCAAGGGGTTAGCAAGTTAAGTGCCATAAAAATCTTGAGAGCTTAACGTAACAGTTATTCTTTTGCACTAAAGATAAGTAGGAACGATCATTAATTATTTTGCATTACACTATTATCAACTTACTTACGTAATTAATCATTTTTATTTGATATGAGTCATCTTTTATATTATAATTGTTTTCAAGTATTTCCGAAGGATCGATCATCTAATTTTTAAGTGCAAGGAAGGTAAGGTAATGCACACGTTGATTTAAACATAGTAATCGAACATGTAAAATAATCTCCCATTATACTTTATTGCAACTGAAATTTAATATTAAAATAACTGAATCTCAAATTACCTGTCACGTTACATGGAAAAGGAACATTTGCAGGAATTTCTTCTTGGGTATTCGGAAGTATATTGTCCCCACTGCTTCTTCTGTTTGATGTCCTATCAACTGCAAGGGATTGAATTGTCAGTAACAATGAGACGAAAATCAACAATTGAAGAATAATGATTTTGGCTCTAATCTTTATTCGTCAATAAAAATGGCTGCATCATTTATTCATTAATAAAAACGGCGCTATTGTTTATTCATTAATAAGTAAGAATCCGTTTTAATCAGAAGCAACAAGTCAATTTAAGTAAACTTTCATTTCGTAGATTACGAAAGGGCGCTATTGACACGAAATGAAAGTTAAATGATTCTTTTAAAATATGTCTTCAAACACTTGCATAAAAATTGATGTCGAATATTTAAGCATTTAATTTAAACACTTACTAAACTGTTAAACATCATTAAATCTATTTATCCTTTGAAATCTAATAGAACATTGAACAAAAACACTAGAACTACCGTATCAGTCAAAATGATTGGTTTATATTTTTTATTTCGCAATTATTGATATCTTAAAAGCATAGAATACTCGATGAAATGATTTTGAAAATAAATAGTTTCACTTGAATGTCTGAAGAAGCGGCAATAATCTATTGTTACAATTTTTGTAGGGATTACATATTAATCGTATTAAATGCTCGTTGGTTTTAGTGTTAATTAAACGGAAACACTGTTAAGTGTTGAAAATATGATCCAAATATGATTCTATTTGAATAACTTTCTTTATTTTAACATTCAAACTAAAAATATACGTACAAGAAACCTGTTTGAGTGCACGTTTGGTTTATTTTCCGTATAAAACAATACAATACAATGAATTCAATTGAAATTTCTCAAATCTTTCGATTTCAAAGAATTAAAACTGGATTTCAAAATAAACTTGTGCCCGAAAACTCTGCTAGAGATTCATTGAAAATTTAAAAGATTCTTTAAACTTTTTATCTGGCACAGGTTTAACCCTTTGGATTCAAAAGTTTTTCACTATAAATATTTAACATTCTTTAATGAGATATAAACGACACTTTTTGAAACTAACTCAACAAAAAACATACACATAAATTAAGGAAAAAAGCTATTTTATCTCAATATCTCACGTATCAGTGCATTATACAAATCTCAATATTAAATATTATACTTTATAACTTTGCTGTAACCAATCTCGTGGCAGCTGAGTGTCGCCTCTCGAGTACAATCCGTTAATACCCACCGCACGTGCACCGTTTCGCGCCACCATGCAAACGTCAAAGATACTCGAAGTCTTTCCTGTACATACCAAAAACGCAGAGAAGAATCTAATTGTAACATTCAAATTAACCCTTTGCATGGAAGGTGACTTTCGATCACTGGATTTCATATAACAAAATTATAGGCTTACATATAATACTATGCTTCGTATAATGCATCGATATGGGAAGTATTGAAAGAAAACAACTTTGCTTCATAATTTCTATACGTTTCCTCATTAGTTAGTTTCAAAGAATGTCGCTTGTATCTCATTGAAAAAGGTAGAATATTTCTAGTGAAACACTTTCGTCTGCAGAGTTAAGCTTACGCAGCATTCAAAAGGAAACCACACGCAGTACCTTCGAAAAAACGAATCTCCAGTTTCACGTCAAAACTAAAGTCCAGTGATCATCGATCCACTCCAATCAAAATAAACTTGTCAGAGAAAATTCCGAATCGAGTTTCATCGAAAACTTCGAAGCAGCCGCACACAAAGACCATCGAAATTCTTCATCTACGTACCAAAAGCGCGGAAGAGGAGACGACGAACTTGTCCGTAAAGCATTAAATTCCCCGGACTATCCAGTGCCGTCCTTTGAGCCGCGATCAGGACACAAAACTGCAAGACCGATAGGAACTTTATTAGCTGGCTCATCGCAAGCGCGCGTCGCGGACGGCGTACTGGAGACGATGATGCGAGCTTTCCTTCACGCGGCACCGAACGAATCTGAAATGGCAGTACCGTCTGCCTTTCAGAGGTTCTGGCCGTGATCTGAGATCGAAATATTCACAGGACAATACGAAACCTCCGCGCCGGCTGCTGCGTACACGTATCATCGACCTTGATAGTGCCACAACCGGTACTGAGTTTCAATGATCGTTGCGAAGGATGCTCGTTACTGCCACCCGTGATTGAGAAAAAGTTGCCGAACACTTGGGTGAATCGAATGGCGACCGTGAATTAAGGGGTGTGTTTCATGAGCTGCTCATTGGGTAAATCGATAAACACCGGTTGTTGAAGATTGTTTCTATACGTAACACCCAGTAAAATGTACTTTTGTTTTCTCAAAAGTGATTATTATTATTTCTTTTGTTTGACTATGTGAAATAAATGTCTATTTCTAAAACTTATACCAGCTTTTCTTTCCAGTATTTTGTTTTCTCTTATGTGTTCCATTATACAACAGTTTTAATACTAAACGTACGGGTCAAATGATCGGTTTTGAAATTTGATTTAAAATTCCGCTTTTTCTTTCGTTCATTGAACTTTATAGTAATTCTTATATTAACTTGTTTACCTTTGGTGTCTAACCAATTGTTTCAGTAGTTACCGTAAGTTATAATACTGTTCGGTACGTTGTGCACGTGGTTCGGACGTTTTATGGTGACATGGACCGTTATTTCATTGAAACAATTGGCTCTAGAAAAACCGAGCGTTTATTGGGGTTGATATGTAATCTTCACAAAGATTGTAACAATACATTTTTCTTCGATTGCTTCAGACATTTGTCATAGTATGTCAATGAAACTATTTATTTTCAAAATCACTTCGAATATTTGATGGTTTTAAAATTTCAATAATTACGAAATAAGAAATCTAAAACCCAGTAATTTAACATCTGCGGTAGTTCTAGTAATAATAGGCTACTAGTTATACATTTTATTTCGATGTTTAATATGATAAGGGTATAGAATTTGTGACAATAATGAATGCTAAGAAGAAAATAATAAATTTCGTAAGAAAAAATATAGAATATAGATATATATTTACATATTTATTTATTATCTTAATAAGATATTATTATATCTTATATATCATTTAAAACATACTAATATTTTTAAAAATATTACAAAACTAATAATATTAAAGGACAAGATTATGGGTCAAGAAAATTTCAGACGACTGGAGTGAATATAAATTCCAAAAGGCTTGAATGTTTAGTCCCAAACTTTGCAATTTCGATAACGCACACGCGTTCGCTTTTTCTTTCATTTGACAGTAAATTAATTGAACAAGAAAAAACGAGTGCACGGTTAGTAGCATAATTAAGTGTTTACGATGCATTGAAAATCGGTTTACTTTTTAATAATTTTAGTTTTTCGCTTTTGATCTTTTTCTGATCAAATAATTCTTAGCTTCTAAAGAATTCTGTTTTCACAAATACTACTTGCAAAAAGTGATCTATATGTGATTGACAAAATGATAATATTAGAAAAAATATTAAAAAAATATTCTTTGTCTTCTTATACTCATTAGTTTCTCACTCCAACGAATTTATGGCTGCTTAATGTAAACGAGAGCATTCTCTGGGGAACGTTTTAATACAATCCGTATTCAACGAAATTCATCACGAACAAACGAATGTTTGTTTGAATTTGAATTTTGTCCGAGTTTGTATAATATTATATTTTGCACATAACTGTTATATTAAGAGGCAAAACTTATCTGAAGTTTAATTACAATTTCATTGTATTTGGTCAGACCACAAATAATAGGATTTTTTAATATTTCTTTTATTTTTAAAAATTAAACTTTTTTTTAATACAATACATTTTCCTTCATTATCTACAACGTTTCTTTCATATTTCGTCCAAAATTTACTTGTCCAAGACGAAAAATACGGCGCATGCAATCGAAAAAACTGAAATAATTTTTGGACTTCCTAATGATTAAATGGATTATTAATTATATTTGAAAAATGAATCGGTGTCTAGAAGTAGGACGTACATTACAAATTTTACGGAAGATTTCTTTTATGAATCGAATATTTAAAAATGATCAAAAACAATTATTTTTATACCTGATTTTGTATTCACGATTAATGAATTAATTGCTGCAATTAACAGTGGATTGTTTTCACGTGACATTGTAACTTGCATGAAATGTAACATACGTGCTTCTTTTGAACTGAATCATTAAAATAAATGAGGTTTTATTTCGTATATGAAGAATGCTAAAAACAAAGGAATAGAAACTGTCGTTCGAGTTCGTGAAACTGCCATTGGAGACAAAAACATATTTCAGGAAACAATGTGTTCCACAAATCTTCACGACGTCGTGATGTTTCTGTGATCATCTAATCACCATAAAGAATAGTAGTTAGAGGAAGCGTTGTATTATAAATCATGATGAATATTCATATAAAGAATAAAATGTGTCTAATTAATATTCCCACTACATAAGTGGTTTTTAAATTACACTAAACGCACCAACACTTTGTATATACTTATCTCTTCTTTAACCAATCAAATAACTAGTTGCAAGATAACGGTACTTAAGCAAATTAGAAGATCAATTTTTCTTGGTGAACACGGAAATAAAAGGAAACATAAAAATTGAAAACTCATTAATCAAACAATATAGGAATTGATACAAAGTTGAATGAACGAGAGATAACGCAGAATTTTCAATCACATTTAAAAACCGGTTATTTGATCGGTTACTATACATGTGTAGTGGTTATTATGATCTGAAGCTTTCATAGTTTCTTTGCTCGTAAAAATCAAACTCAATTATTATAATATGTTAGAGCGACTTTTATTGAGTCATTCACAAATTTCGTATCACTCTATACAAAATTATTACATAACAATTCAATAATAATAAGAATTGAATTGCATAACAATAATAATAAATATTGTAAATTACATTATATTTAGAAGTACATATAATAATAAATATTTTTTTCAGAATCACTCCTTTGCGAAATTTCAAATTCATCATTGACTTACAAATTAAGCCATACATAATTTTAGGTATACAAATGAAATAATCAAGGCATATCATTTAGTTATTAAAAAATCTCTTAAAAACTCATTAATTAGAAAATGTCTAATTTTAATATTGTAAGTGGAACTTTCATCATCTTTCTTATTTTTTCATATTTCTTCGTATACAGTTATATTTCTACTTAGTACGTGTAAAAATAAAATTGAATAAAAAATGCATTTTCCCGTTAAAAAGTAAAGAAACATTAACTTTATTGTCATCAGTTTTTAACATGAAATACTATTTTTTAATAAAACTAAAAAATATCAGCTTCATCATTCTATTTATCGAGTTTTACATTTGTACAAAATGTAGTTTTATGAAATATTCGAACAGTACAGGAAAAATTTATTTAATAATTTGATATACATTTGACATTTCTCTTTCACAAACGCAATCAAATGTATATTATACGTTTCCAAACTTCAGCGTGGCGCCAGAAGGTTTAACCAATTCCGTTATGTACGTTTCAAGTACCAAATTCGGATACATTTTTATACACACAGAAGTTAATATTTCACATGACAGATACGTGCCAAATATAACCCGGACATTTTTTTCGAGAAATTTTATTAGTCATTAACGCAGAGATTATCGAACTCACGAATTCCAATTCCTTAAACTACGTTTTATAAACAGATTCTGATTTATTATACATACACAAATAGCTTTGTGTCATTTCATTCGTGACTCGTAACAAATTAGTTTTAGCTAATAAGCAATAGCGTTAGCTGCATGAGTATGTATTAAGTTCTCGTGGACATCTAACGATTATAAAAAAAAGTGTGAATACGGTAAAAAACTCGTGTTAAGAGATAAGAAGTTAAGAATGTTGCAAATAAACTTTAACAGTTTAAATATATTTTCTTTACGAGAATATGAGTTATAATAGATTAGCTAAGATAAACTAGTTAACTGTTAATGGGTAGGAGCTGTGGAATACAAGAAACGAAATATGGAAGTATAGAAAATTATAAGCCAAAGTCCTATTTCTGGACTAACGAGGCCGAAATAAAGATATTAAATATATATTACATATTAAATTTTATAAATATTATTTAGTAAATATTCATATAATTTCGGTTGATGCATTTGCATGAATATATATCTTATTTGTTTGTTTTTAAATTCCCAATTTCCACGATCCAAGTTAACAAATTTCAACTTCGCTAGCAACAATAGAATAAATTGTACAATAAACATCCATAAACCTAGTATTAATAATAATATATATAGACCTTTATTTTCGCGGCCTCACAGCCAAGAAAATTGTTTACAATTGTACCCTAGATCCATTCATTCTCTCCTTTCATACATTCCATTTATTTCTTACCCTACATTTCTTAAGTTTATTTTAAATTCTCTGCCTTAATCCTATCTTTGGTTTAACTTTTATTTTCTATCCTATAACACTTCTTTCCTCACTGCCCTTTCTCCTTCAGTTTAGTTCCCTTACCCATATAATAATATAAGCCTATCCTCCGAGTTACATAGTATAAGTCGAAATCGTGGATTTTTGTATGTAAAACCGTGTAAATCGAAAACAAACCAAAACATGCATAATATAGTCGGTTACATATTTGATTAGATAGTAATATACCATAGGAAACATAAAAGTATCAGTTCATTCATGAAATGACAAATATATAAAGTACATAATTCTTTTTATAGAAACGAGACATATAAAATCCATAAAAAGTGCAACTAATAGTTGAACCAAGAAAGCAAGCCTATACAATTTTAAGTAAATTATAAAAATGTTATAGAAACTATAATTATTTGTCACTGACCAATAAATATGACGTTTGAAAAAGTACAACGACACACACTTTCTACTAGTAAACATTTACTGAGCTTTACTACGCTAATTCACATGAATAGTTCTTGTGTACATACAAAAAATGGAGTTATCATTTCTAGATTTAATGCCAGTATTACCAATCGAATGGAATTAGTAATTTATTATAGAAATAAACCGTGTAAAATAGAAA